TTAGCCTCTGCTAAAATGTCTCCAGCAAAAAAAAAAGTTCCTTATGAGTCTTTTCCATGACTCTTTGTAAGGACCTGCCTCCCTCCCCCCCCCCGCCTCAAAAAAGCGTAGACTCTTGAAAACCTGGTATTTCAAAAGGAATCTTTTATTGAAAAGGAGTGAAAGTAGATCAACATTGAAAGCAGACTCTGGAACCCTCAGGTTATACAATCCATGATAAAGGGACTTAGGAATCCCTTCCATTGTGGATTCCCCCCAATCCGCAGATGTGAAGATATTTTTGTACTGGCCTCTCTGAGAAACAGATAAGCAGGGAATCTCAAGGATCATCTTCCGGAGTTTCAAACCACAGGGCCTCCCCCCACCCCCTTTGCATCCTCCAAGAGGTGAGGATTTTCCCGACCTCTGAGGCACCAGGTAATGGTTATAAATCAGGCAAAACAAGACATAGAAAGGAAAAAGAAAACTTGCATCAAATCCACCCCCTTTCGTCCACTGAAGAATGGCAGATACATGGAACTGACATATTGCCCTCCTCAGAAAAATGGACATATTGCCCTCCTCAGAAAAAATGGAAAGTCCTCTTGGAAAGACATAAAACATATAATACAATACGATTTAGGATGGTTTTTGAGGGTACTTCAGGTGGAATTTCCTTAACAGTGTGGGAGCTTTTACATGTTTTTTGGCTACCCACTCATTCTGAAAGGATGGTAGGTGTTTCATTGCCACTAAATATTGTGTGGAGTCATGGTGAGTATGGGAGTCCAGGATATCTTTAATTTCAAAATGTTGTTCTCCTTCCACCTTAATGGGGGTTGGGGGTGTGGGCAAAGGGGGTCTGATCTTTGAAGTGATTTTTGGCTTGAATAGGCTGCAGTGAAACACTGGATGAACCTGCCTAAGTGTTTTAGGAAGGAGGATTTCTACCATGAGGGGGTTAATGATTCTGGTGATGGGGAATGGGCCAATAAATTTTGGTCCCAGTTTCTTAGGCAGTTGTAAGGATTCCCCTCCTTCCTGAGCCAACACAAAGGAGACCGCACCTGGCGCTGAGCTGAGTCTGGCAGCAGTGGGAGGAGGAGTCACTGTCCCTGCTGCCATGATCCCAGCCCAGGAGGATATTTTGCTTGGCATGTGTGCAAGAAAGAGATGAGAGCAAGAAAAACAGAGAAAAAGAGAGAGAAATGAAAGAGAGCTGGGGGGAGAGAATGAGAGAGAGGAAAAAGAGAGGAAAACAAATCAGAGAGAGAAGGGGGAGAGGGAGAGAGAAATGAGAGCTGGAGAGAGAAAATGAGACAGAAAGAAAAGAGAGGGAAACAAATCAGAGAGAGAGAAGGGGAGAAAAAGGAAGAGAAAGGAAGAAAGGAAGAGAAATAGAAAAAGAAAGAAAGAAAGAAAGAAAGAAAGAAAGAAAGAAAGAAAGAAAGAAAGAAAGAAAGAAAGAAAGAAAGAAACTTTCCCAAACCTGTGATGAAAGCAATGGCAAGCTAGATCTCTTGCCAAGAAAACTGCAGTTTGTCAGAAGGCACAAATTGGAAGCAAGTTTGATTTTTTCTTAAGAAAATAACAGAGATGGCAAAAATGCATTTGAAAATAAGATTATTTATCATTTTGGATAATGTAATATTGTCAAACTCAAAAGAAATNGGAATAGCATGCCCTTGAAGCTGAGCTATCTGGCCGGCCAGCAAGGCCACCTGCTGTGCCAGTTGAGCGTTTAAGGCAAGGAGCTGCTCTATATTGGCTTAATGTAAATTGTTTGGGCAGGAAACAAACTGTTCTGACCCCTCCGGCCTGTGAATAATCCAGAACACAGGCTTGGCTGTTTGCCACTGTTCAATTACTGAGATAATGAATCCTTTGGTGGCCAACCAGCCTCTCTGGTCCCTGCTCTGAGTCTGAACCCTGCCCAGGGTCCTCCACATCGTCCAGGGCAGATTCATCACTATCCAAGTCCATCAGCAGCTCCACTGGATCCTGCTGGGCCACAACAGATATAATTCATATAAATCTTTTATCTAACGTGCTTGATCAAGATCTTGCCAGGTGTAAAACTTCCTAAGCCAAAAATGTGTTCCATGACTCCAAGAGACATGAAGGAGCTAAGAGAGTACATTGACAAGAACCTAACAAGGGATTTAATCCAACTGGTGAAATCCTGTGTGGCAGCCCCCATTTTCTTCAAAGAAAAGAAGGATGGGATGATGAGATTATTTGTTGATTTCAGGCCAATAAAAGTTGTGTGTGTTGCAAACATGTACCCTCTCCCCTTAATGAAGGATGTGCTGGCCCACCTGACAAAAAGAAAGATCTTTACCAAACTGGACCTGACAGAAGCATACTATAGAGTGAGAAATAAAGAGGGGAACAAGTGGAAGATGGCAATTGCGTGCTGGGGAGTTTCTAGTTCAAGGGGATGCCTTTTGGGCTCTAAGGGGCCCCTGCCATATTCATGCAGCTGATTAACGAGGTACTGCATGATCATTTGTGTAATTGTGAGCCAAGTGCCAGAGGATCAGAAGGTGTGCTCTGATGTTGCCCCAACAGATGTTTCCAGCTTGCGCTTCTCTGTTCCGAAGTGAGATTCAGTGGGGGGAAGGGGGAAGGGAGCAAGGGGAAGATCCAATTAAAATCCATTTCCCCCCAATAAATGGGGAAAATAAAGGCCCAGTGGTCCAGAGTCAAAAAAAGGGGGGTGGGGTCTGTTCACTGGAGGATCGGAGAGGAATTCAGTCAAAATCTGGGTGGGAGGATATTCAGAGAGGGATCTGCCTGGGTCTATTCTTCCCTCCCTCTTAGATTTCCAGCTTTCTTCCCTAGCCTGGTTTTAAGGGGAGAGGGAAGCAAGGTGGAACAATAGTTGCTAAAAGACTGCGAGGGGGGAACAGATAGAAAACCCCCTCCATTATATCGACCACCTCGTTACCTCCCCACCCACTTTGGAGCATTTTCCATGGGGAAACAAAGGGCCTTGGTTGGAGGCAACACACATAAAATGCAGCAGCTCCAAATCGCACCAAGTTCTCAGACTGGTAGCGCCCCCCTGACCCTCCCTCCCTCCCTCTCCACTCCCCTGAGTCCAAAGGGGTTTCCTGGTTTGCGTTTCTGAATCCTGTTTTTTTCTGGGTGGGGAGAGGAGAGACACTCCACAAAATGTGTGCTTAAATTTCACGCCGGTGCAAAATCCTGATTTTTAAAGATGGGGATGGGGGAAAGATGCCATTCCTTTCCCAAGGATCCAGGAAAGTGGAATAAAAATAGGGTACAGGTGTGGGTGTGGGTGTGTGTGGGTGTGTATGCGTGTGTGTACACACAATGGTTTCTCCTTCTTGGTTCAAAGCAGAGAAAACACCACTTGCTAATTTTCATTTTCAAAAGAATCCAAAGTCTCTCCAGACCCATTTAGTTTCTTTTCAGAGTCCCAAAACTTTTTTTAAAAAAATCTTACTTAAAATAATAAGATCACTTTTCAAGGAAAGAGGGGATATGTTTTTGTGGGGGAGTGGCCTCAATGGAGAAGACAGGATAATTTTTTTCAAGAAGAAAGGAAGATAAGGAAGGAAGGAAGAATGGAAGATGAAATCAGAGGAGGGGGAAGGAAGGAAGGAAGGAAGGAAGGAAGGAAGGAAGGAAGGAAGGAAGGAAAAAAGACATGGGAGGCGAGGAGGGAGGGAAGGAGAGAGGGAGGGAGGGAGGGAGGAAGGTGAGAAAAGAGACATTGGAGTCCAGGAGGGAGGGAGGAAGGAAGCAGGGGTGGGTTCCAGCAGCAACTACTGATAGTTTGCTTGTGGTTGCACAGCACGTGTGCGCGCTTCGCACATGCGCAATACTAAAAAATGCAAATCCAAACTGGTAGGAACCCACCTCTGGAAGGAAGGAAGGTGAAATCAGAGGAGGGAGGGAGGGAGGGAGGGAGGGAAGGAAGGAAGGAAGGAAGGAAGGAAGGAAGGAAGGAAGGAAGGATGGAAAAAAGACATGGGAGGCGAGGAGGGAGGGAAGGAGAGAGAGAGGGAGGG